GAATCTTGCTTTATACAATAATTTGTTTAGCTCAATGTGAGATCTTTCTTCTCTTGTTTCCTCTCCATTTTCAAGGCTTGAGCAAGCACCATAGAATTCCTTTCTGGGATGCAAGAGGAAGGAGAATATCTTGCAATTCCCAGTAGACTCCATTGCAGTGGGTTTATGCCAACAATTAGTCCCAGCACATATGAGCAGGACCTAGTAAATGGATTCCACAAGTTGCCCTCAAAATTGGGGCTTTCCAAAGTTCTACAAGCAGACCTTAAGCTGACTAGTGTCAGATGAATGTTATTCTCTGCAGGGAGCCACAGAGAAGAATGGCCCACTGTTTTCAAGGAGGTGAATCCAACCATAGTGAATTAGGTGAGAAAAAAGATGGGATGGTATAGAAAGGACAGATCCTTTTGTTTGGAAAGGAGGGAGAAAGGCCTATCGTTATCACAGCTGCCTGCTAAAAAGGGGAAGATGTGTATGAAGGGTCCTTTAGTTCTGCTGATGCCATGGGGGTTTTATAGCTAGATTTAGGGGTAGGGGCTAGGAGAGGTCTAAATTGCTTATAGGATAAAGAATAATTTGGGATCTTGAGGGAGAGACAATGTAGGAGAGAGTGTGTGGAAAAATCGAGAAGATCTAGTATGAGCTGGATGTGGTGTGAGGTTGGGTTGTTACAGGTGTGAAGCAACCAGGATGGAGAGACTGAAATGAGTTAATGAAGAGCTGGGTGCCTAATATTCAACTTGAAGTTGTTTGAGTGGTGAATATAAACAAGCTGCACTTTCTATCTCGCCGCAACTTCAGTTAGCTCTCTAAATACGCATGTCTATGAGGCATTTTAATGCTTTATTTTGCTTTTGCGAAATTGAGAAGAGTCTAGGTAGATACAATGTCGAGGGACATAGCTTTCTTGAGAGTGTGTAAAAAAATTCTTAACATGGAATAATTCAACACAATATGGAACTGAAAACTAGAAACAAACTCCACTCCTAAAAATTGGTAGAAATCTGAGCAAGAACTTTCGAATTCCACCAGATGTGGAATAGGAATTCAAGCACCCTTCTGAAGATCTTAAGAGATACCAGGTAACACATGAGCTAGATATTTGTATTAAATTAGTGTTTTTCTTGTTACATATGTAATACATTTTAGAAAATTGAGGATTAAAATATCAAATCTGTAAGCATTTCTGTACATGTTTTTTAAAACACTGTGGTAAAATATACATAACAAAATTTATCATCCTAACCATTTTTAAGTGTACAGTTTAGTTGTATTGTCTACATTCAGATTGTTGTGCAACCATCATCAAGGTTTTCAGGAGAACTTCAATGTGGTACTAGGGGAAGATGAAGATGTTTTTGAAGAAAATAGAATTTTGAAACATTTTCTTGTATATTTGTACTGATCGCTTGATCATTATGTAGTGTCCTTCTTCACCTCTTCTAATAGTCTTCATTTTAAAGTCTGTTTTGTATGATATGAGTATTGCTACTCCAGCTTTCTTCTGATTTCCATTTGCATGGAATACCTTTTTCCATCCCCTCACTTTCAGTCTGTATGTGTCCCTAGATCTGAAGTGGGTCTCTTGTAGACAGCATATGTACAGGTCTTATTTTTGTATCCATTCAGCCACTCTATGTCTTTTGGTTGGAGCATTTAATCCATTTATGTTTAACGTAATTATCGTTATGTATGTTCTTATTGCCATTTTGTTAATTGTTTTGGATTTGTTTTTGTATGTATGTTTTTCTTCCTTTCCTCTTTTGTTCTCTACTCTTGTGATTTGATAACTAACGTGTATATCTGTAAAAACATGCTTTTAAAAAGTGATTTCTCAGTTTATAATGAACACTGTTGATTGTCTACTCATCTTCCATTCCCTCCCTGTGTTTCCTCTTCAAAAAACTCCCAGTTCTGTTCATGTGTCTTCAAGTCCCACACAAAGCCCTTGCAACTCATGAGAATCTCCTTTTTTAGCTTTAGGAATGGGTCCTAATGGATCAAAGCCAGAACCTTTCAGGAATTCAGGTATAAGTCAATCACAGCACTGTTTGCTGATCATTGTTATTGGTCCACAAATGGGTATCAGCTTAGACTGAAAGACTTTTATTTTCTCTCTGGATATAAACAAAAGAGGTAAGGATTTTCTTATAACAATAAGTAGGAGAATAAGCCCATGGATTAAGCCAAATCTGTTGGCAACATAAAAGATCATTGAAAAGAACACGTGTTCCTGTCGGGGTTACTGAAGCAGTCAACCCAGAAGTTAGCCTTACCTCTGGAAGTCACATGACAAGAAGTTATCTGACTCTTCAAGCCAGTTTAAGGTTGGGTTTCTCAAAGCTGCTCAAAAGCATCTTAATGATATACAGGCATATTTTGCTGGATTCTTATAATATAACTCTGTGAGGTAGGTAGGATTGATATGATTATTTCTAAAAAACAAGGATGTAAGCTCAGAAATGTGGAGTAACTTTCTCAGGTTACTATTCAGGATAAATTTCCGAAACTGCTCTGGAATTCAGCTAGGTCTTTTCTGAGTCTTAGGTTTACTTCTTTTTACCTTGTGACGGTAGTTTACAGTCATTCCCGCCTAGGTTAAAAATGCAATGGTATGTTCTTGCCAAACAAAAAAACAAAATCTACAACTACTTTAATATCTTAATTATTCCTCATTCTGCCAACCCGCCTCAGATGTCCAGATTTCCACTTTAGTTTTTCTTTTGAATCACAGAGAGAGAGAGAGAGAGAGAGGAAGTTGCTTTTCATATATTTCCATAGTATATTTCTTATATATCCAAGATAGGCGTAGTCACATGCTACAGAAATGGAGTAATACAGAGATTTTACTTGAAGCAAAGGAAAACTTTGATTATCCTCTTAAACGAGGACGAGTTTGTCCAATACCTTGGCCATTAAGGCTGTTTATACCTGTGAAATTCACATATTGTTATAGGTCTCGTTTTTCCTGGATACTTTAACAAAAATTGGCAAAGATTACATCATTAGAGATAACCTGAGAGAGGGAAGAAACTGTAACGTTGGCAGGGACAGCGTTGTTGGTAGCACTAGCTCAGATCTTGGAGCCACAGAAATAAATGTGGATTAATAAATGTTTCCTCAAGAATCAGAATGAGACCTCTTTCAGCTCTAATCAAGTCTTTCTGGAATTCTGAATTCTGAGAAAACTGATTTGAATCATCTTTCCAAGGTCAGTCATGGGCCACCTGCTTCTCACAAAGAAGGACATGTACTACATGGGACAGCCAAGGTGATTCATCTAGGCACAGACTAAGTACACACTGATAGAGAATCATGCTCAATTCCCATTAGAACTGGGTTTTTATTTCCTGCTAGGTAAGTGAACTTAGGTAGTTATTGTATTCTGTTCCAAATTTTTCTTTATCAGATGCTATCTTCTTGCTTTTCAGAGTTCTTTAGAATCTTGAGATGGAAGAAGGAAAACTAAAAGTAAAATATTTTAATAAATAACCTTGTCTAATGCTGCTTATTATGGCAGCAGGTGGTAGTAAATTAAAGACAGGCACAGAGGCTTCCCTGGTGGCGCAGTGGTTGAGAGTCCGCCTGCCGATGCAGGGTACACGGGTTCGTGCCCCGGTCTGGGAAGATCCCACATGCCGCGGAGCCATGGGCCCGTAAGCCATGGCCGCTGGGCCTGTGCTTCCGGAGCCTGTGCTCCGCAGCGGGAGAGGCCACGGCAGTGAGAGGCCCGCATACCGCAAAAAAAAAAAAAAAAAAAAAAAAAAAAAAAGACAGGCACAGGTTTTTAGACTCTCCTCTCATTAAGAGGTGGAGTATATGATTTCTCCATTGCCTTTGGGTGGGCTTCTGTGACTGCTTGACCAATAGAATAAAATGGAAATGATGCTCTGTCAGTTTCCAAGTCCAAGCCTTAAGACAATGCTAATTTCCTGTGGCAGATGGAATTCTTAGATGTCCTCCAAAATTCTCACCCCTTAGAGTACATGCCCTATACTACACCCTCCTCTTGATTATGGGTGGGATCTGTGACTATGAAAGATCTCACCATATGTGGAAAAGGTAAATTGACTTGCAGATGTAATTAAAGCTCCTAATGAGTTGGCATTGAGTTAAAGGGAAGTTATCCTGGTTAGGTCAGCCTTAATCAGGTAGGATCTTTAAAAGAGGCTCCGCCTTTCCAACAAATGGTGCTGAAACAACTGTATACCCATACAAATGAGTGAAGGTGGCTCCCTCTTCACACCATATGCAAAAATTAACTCAAAATGGATAACAGACATCGTTGTGTTAAAAGTATAAAACCCATAGAAAACATAGGAGTAAACCTTCATGAATTTGGATTAGGCATTCATTTCTTAGATACAACTTTGAGAGTACAAGTGGCAAAAGACATAACAGACAAACAGTACCTCATCTAAATCAAAACCTTGTGATTCAAAGGTCATAATCAAGAAAGTGAAAAATCAACTCACAGAATGGGAAACATATTCACAGATTGTATATCTGATAGAGGTCTTGTGTCCATAATATATATAAAAAAACATTTACAAATCAATAATAAAAATATAAATCACCCAAGTAAAAAAAGGGCAAAGAGTTTGAATAGACATTTTTCCCAATGAAGATATACATGAAAAGATGCTCAGCATCAATAGTCATTAGGGAAATGAGACACAAAACTACAGTGAGATACTACCCACCCACTAGGATGGGTATAAGAAAAAAGACAGACAACAACAAGTGTTGATGAGGATGAGGAGAAATAGGAATGCTCGTACCTTGCTAGTGGGAATGTAAAATGATACAGAGACTTTGGAAAATGTTTACCAGTTCCTGACACTGTTCAACTTAGAGTTCCCATAGAACCCAGCAATTTTGCCCCTAGATATAAAACCCTGAGAAAGGCAAACGTATATGCACAGAAAATCTTCTGCATGAGTGTTCACAGAAGAATTATTTACCATTGCTTCTACCAAAAGTAGAAGCAATCCAGGAGTTCCCTGGTGGTCTAGTGGTTAGGATCCAGCCCTTTCACTGCTGTGGCCCAGGTTCAGTCCCTGGTCGGGGAGCAAAGATCCCACAAGCCGCATGGCACGGCCAAAAACTAAAGCAAACCAAATGTACATCAATTGATGAACAGATGAATAAAATGTGGTATGTCCATAAAAAAGAATATTATTCAGCATTAAAAAGGAATGAAGTACTAATACAGGATACAACATGGACGAACCTTGAAAACATTTTGCTAAGTTAAAGAAACCAGTCACAAAAACCACATAATGGATGATTCCATTAATATGGCCAGAACAGGAAGATCTATAGACCAAAACAGATTAGCAGATGTGTAGGCCTGGAGATAAGGCTGGAATGGAGAGTCACTGCTATTGGGAGCAGTTTCTTAGGGGATGACAAAAATATTCTAAAATTAGATTGTAGTGATAGTTGAACAGCTCTGTGAATATATTAAAAACCATTGAATTACGTACCTTAAATGAGTGAAATGCATGGGATGTGAATTATATTTCAATAAAGCTGTTCTTTGAAAAAAATATTAGTTGAGACCTTCCCTGAGCTCAAATACACTCCCTGTTGGCCTTGAAGAAGCAAGCTGCCATTAGTTCTACAGGAAATGAATTTTACCAACAACCATCAAGCTTAGAAAAGGACCCTGGGCCTCAGATGAGACTGTAGTCCTGGCTGACACCTTGACTGCAACCTTCTGAGAGCCTGAGCAGAGGACCCAGCTAAGTAAGATGTGTCCAGACTTCTGACCTACAGAAACTGTGAGATGATAAATGGGTGCTTTTTATATACCAAGTTTGTGGTAACTTGTTATGCAGCAATAGATAACTAATATATTTTTACTTTGGGTCTTTTGGAACACTTGCTTTTAGAACCCAGCTGCCATGATGTGAGAAGACTAAGATACATGCAAAAGCCCTACATATGCTCTCAGCCAACAGCCAGCATCAATTCCCAGCCATGGGAGTGAGCCATCTTGGTCATTCAGCCCAAATGAGTCTGAGAGCAACTGCCTAAGAGACCCCATGCAAGAACCATTCAGTTGTGCCCAGTCAACTCACAGAAATGTGAGAGTTAATAATACCTTTAAGTGTTAGAATGGTTGTTACATAGCTAATGATATCAGGTTTTTTTTTTAAATGCCTATTTTATTATACATTCAAATGAGTCTTTGTCTATCCTGTCAGTCATATAAGGGTAACTCTGTTTTCATATTTCTCCATTTTTCTCTTGGAATCCTTCTAACTGTATTGAAGATTGACAGGTGGGTTCCCTTAGGAGGAGCTGAAAGACATTGTTAGATATATCTTCAATTCAAAATGAAACACTTATTTTAGTGAAGTGGAGATGTGATTCCTGCTATATTTAAAAGAAAACCCTAATGAGGGTTACTGGGGATAAATTAATTGAATAATGTATTCTCATTATTAGATAGGTATAAATAGATATATATTTGTGTTTAGGTCAGGAAGACAGAAACAAAAGACAAAAAAATAAAAATAAAAGCAATGCAGACACACTGAATCCAAATAAAGGAAGCAAAATAAGTACCACAAAACACACTCATTACTATAATATTATAAATATGGAGAAATTGCAATAACAAATGAATTCCTTATGCTTTTATACTTCTGGTTGATTAGTATTTGCATACTCAATAAAAAGTACTGTGTAGTATAACATTTTAGTCTCTGTGCGCATATGTATTATTCATTGTGGCTAGAGGCCAATTTGCTCACAAGTATGATAATTATCTAATTCTGTGTAGG